TGATCTCCTGCGGCGGAGTTCCTAAACAATCCGTGATGCCGCCAGCTACGTATTCGGCAAGAGCGTCAGCATTTTCGTTCCAAGGGTTATTCGCGTGGCCTCGGACGGAGTTCGCTCGAATCTTAGTTCGCCGACCTACTTCTCCAAAACGGTATCGGGCCACATTGGCAAGTTTCTGTTGGCTGTTGGGGAGACAAACCCTCCAGCCGTCACTCCAAGATCAGAAAGCGAGTCGTTTCATAAAACAATCTCTGGGGGGTGGGCTCTCCTAACCTTTCCCCCTCAGGCATCGCTACCCCCAAGATCCAAATCATGGCCCCACAAGTTGCGTAGAGCTCTGCTGTTGTGCTGCTGACCAACGGCCATGAATGCTCAATCGCGCTGGTTTCAGCCAAGCGGCCTGCAGCTCCTCCTCCAAAAGTTTGGCCATCGCTGGTTCGTGCGGTGACGACGAAGGCCCAACTCGCTATCTGCGGTCGGTCGGCAAATACGCATCAGTGTAAATATGCAGCACATCACCTATATCCTCCATAGGCTGTGCCATCTTCATCACTATCTCTGCTGCTGCTACAAATTCTGCATGTCGCACATCTCTATTTATATCAAAGCCTACCCCACCCCATAGGTGTGAATGACATCCATCACTCGATTCGCCCCAGTGATGCTGCAGGTGGCTGATTCTCGAGGCCGATCCGAACATCGTTCGATTGAAATGGGCTTGCATTTGCCCGAGCTGGACTCCTGTTCGAATTACTGGCTGTTGGCTGGCATCTCTGGAGACGCAGCGACTTCTGAAACACAAGGTGGGCCGTCTGATACTGCGAGAGAAAAAGGGGCTTCATAAGTCTCAATAGACGGCCTCGATCATGCTGGCGCTGTAGCTTGCCCACGGCGCTCACGCAATCGTCAAACATATCCTCTGTCTGAGGGGCCGTCACCTTCACGAATGATTTCTGAAACAATGTCCACGTGCACTTCTCTTGGGCGGCGACGAACCTAGAACTCGTCGCCCACCTCTGCAGCATGCTTAACCTTCGCTCCCTTGCCCTTGGACGTCGAGCGCTTCTGGAAGGTGCTCTGGCGGATGCCGATGCTGTTTCGTGTCGTCGCCGCCTCCGATGGTGTTGCTGCCGTTGTTGCCTCTGCCAGTGTGATCTCCGTCGCTGCGGTCGTGTCGAGCTGGATGCCGTGGCCCTGCAACGCTTTCAGTATCGCCGTCAACGCCGAGCATGTGGTCTGCTGTGTGGCTTGGACGGCTGCCATCTGTGCTGCCATCGGGTCTGGATGAGGTACGGCTCGAGGCGGGTGGCGAACTTCGGTCATGGGAACAGCGCCATCTCCGCCTGGAAAGGGACCACCTCCTCCTGCGGCGATAGCTTCTGTGTGCTCCCTCTCCTCCTCCATGCTCTTGATGAGCAGATCGAGCTCCGCCTTCTCGCTGAGCTGCTCCTCGAACTCCTCCTGGAGGTTAATCATCTTCTGATTCTTGGTGCCGACCTGCTCCATTATCTTCTCGAGTCTCTTACGCAAGCCGAGGATATGGGACGCGATCGGCTTGGGGCTGAAGATCGCCTGCTTAAGAGTGGCAGTATCGGTCTTCTCTTCTTGCAGGTGTTGAAGGCGAGCAGGCTCTACGACGCCTCGCCGCCTTCGCGCGAAGCGCGAGAAAGTAGTAAAACGTCTTCTCTTCTCAGTGAGGATGATGGCGACACGGTGCCTATGCCGTAGACGCCTTCGGCCGGAGGCCGAGAAAGTAGTCAGGGGTTAAGAAGATGCCACCATGGAGCCGCCTCGTGGCAGCTCCAGGGTGGAACCAATTGTGGAAAAGCCAGGCAGGGCGACCAGCAGCCGAGGAGGAGACCACTGGCCGCCGCACTGGTCCTGGCCCCCGTCTGTGTGCCATGGGGGAAAAGTCCCCTCTGGGGTCGAAGGCGCTGGCCAATTCGCCAATCGCAGTCAGGGATATCAGTTGTCACACTGAAAAGTCAGGTAAGGGATACGCTTCGGTGCCAGCGGGAATTAAGCTATGCAAACCAGCTTTGGGCGAGCCCCCCCAAGAAGAGGACACGAGGTCTTCTCTTCTTGTTGTGGGTGATGGCGACACGGTGCCTATGCCGTAGACGCCTTCGGCCGGAGGCCGAGAAAACATATGAAGGTGTAGAGGTTACCGACTAGACGTCGCCTTAAGCCACACCCGGCCGGAGGCAGAAGAGGTGGGTCTTCTGTTGATGTGCCTGACTCCTGCTTGGCGATCACGATCGAGGCTAGTTTCTGCATGCGGTCCTGCACGTCTTTCTTGAACTCTGGCATGTTGTATTGGCCGGCTGGCGGGGCGATCCACGACGAGTGGTTTTGCGCTTCTGTTGGCAGTGCTGGCGTCACATCTCCTATGATCTTCTGGATCTGCTGGTGCTGCTGCCTGTTCTCTTTGCTGGTCGGGATGGTCTGATGCCGACTGTGACCGAGCTCGAGGTGTGCGCCATTCCCATCCGCAACTGCACTACCGCTGTGTCACTGGCAACGTGGCGCGGCATCTCGAACATGTCCACCACTGCTTCGACATTGGACTGCTGTGGTAACCAGCTTCGACGCCTTGGCTAGTCTGAGCAGGACTCGAGCTCTGGCTCGCAAGGCCCGCTGGCGCCTGTGCCAGGCTGGCTCCCAAGCCCTTTAGCGGCTGGGAGGAAAAGAAGGATGTAATCGTGAGAGGAACACAATGGCGGCGGATGCCCCTGCTCCGCTTCGCAAGATCTGGCCCGCTGGGCTGCTGCTGCCCGATCCAGGGCTAAATCCTCTCCTCCTCCTCCTCCTCCGCCAGTTGCGCCTCCTCACCTACGGCGCCCGGCCGCGGTCCGCGGCGGCGAAGCGCGAAGGATGGACTCGTCCCTCAGTTCACTCTCGCGCCTCCTCATCCTCCTCGTCCTCCTCCTGCCCCTCCTCCTCTTCCTCCTCCTCCTCCTTCTCCTTCTCCTCTCCCCACCTCCCTCCTCGTCCCCTCCTCCGTCCTCCCTGGTCATCCTTGTCATCGTCCTCGGGGGCCTCCCGCCTCGGGGGGCGATTTGGCGATTTGCGAGGGTGCCTCAAGCGGGAGCCCCAGATTGGGACACGCCCGGAGCGACTTTGCGAAGATGTCTAGAGCGAGAGCCCCGGACTGGAACACGCCCAGTGCGCCCATGAGGGCACGGTGAGGCCTGAGAGCCTGGGACTGGGACACGCCCGGTGCGCTCTGGCGCGCCCCGGCGCGCGTCTGAGGGCCTCCTTGGGAGGCTTCGGGGGTTGGTTTTTTTGAGGATGTCCCACCCGCTCGCGAGGGCGCCGCTTTGGAATTCGTCCTCGGATTTCCCAAGGGTGCCGCTGGGGGCCTCCTTGGGGAGGCTTGGGAAGCCCGTTTCCTGAGGATATCCCACGCCAGGGCGCCGATTTGCAATTCGTTGTTGGATTTCCCGGAAATGGAACAGGGGGCCCTCTGAAGGCTTCCTTGGGGATTCTCGGGGGGCCGGTTTTCCGAGGATGTCCCACGCGAGGGCGCCAGCTTGGAATTCGTCGCCAGGTTTTTCGGATTTCCCAGATGTCCCAGATTTCCAGGGTTTCCTGGCGGTTGGCGGGCCCATTCCCTCGCGCGCTGGGGGTCAGGACAACGTGAGTTCTCAAGACAAGCTCCCTCACATCACCATGCGTTTGTGCCCATGCCTCATGGCCCATTGCACTGTCTTCTGATACGTGGACGCTCGGGCGTGACCCATGGCCAATCGAAAGCCCATGCGTGTACAAGACGTGGCCAGTGCCCGTGTTCCCCCGGGCGTGCCGTTTTGCGAAATCCCGTGGCCTGGGGCTCCGCGCGCTGCACACGGTGCCACCATGATGGGGTAGGCAGTAGTCGCCCCCTTGGCTTCGGCCGCCCACGGCCCCGACCTCTCGTGCCTCGCGGCCCCTTTTTGGCCTCGGCTGGGAGGAAGGATTGGTGGAGCTTCACAAGTGGACTCATGTGCCCGTGGCCCGCGGCCTCTCGTGCCTCGTGCCCTGGAGTGGCCCGTCTGGCAGAGTGCCAGGGGTGGACCAGGGTGCTCGTGGCCCGTCGGTTCTCGTGACTTGTGGCCCCTTCCTTGGTCTCCGTGGCCCCGGTGAGTCTTCGCGGGCGGACTTGGGTGTCCGTGGCGTGCGGCTTTCTCGTGGCCCGCCAGCTGGAGCTTCGCCAGAGAACTCGAGCGCCCAGGGCCTCTCTTGCCTCGGCACCTTCTGCAGGGGGCGTCAAGATTGGATTCAGGCGCCCGTGCCCCGTGGCCTCCCTTGCTTTGTGGCCCACTCTTGGCCTCCTCGTGGTCCCCGCGTGGCCTCATCGTGGTCCTGTGATTGGGGGCTCGGGAGACTCCGTTGACCATGGCCCGTGGCCTTCTCATGCCTCTTGGCCCTCGACGACCTCTGGCGGAGTGTCAGGATCGGACTCGGGTCCTGGGGAAATGTACCGAACGTCCCCTTCATGGAGAGTGGCTTCAAGGCCCGGGGCTGAACCCGCGTTATGGCCCCTTCTCCCCCCGTAGCGCAACGCCCCCTATCCCTTGTGCAACGCCTCCGCCCCCTCACTGCAGTGCGCCCCTGGCACTGCCGCAGCGCATGCGTGCACCGCGGCCTCGTAGCAAGGTGCGGTCGTAGCGCCTTCGTTGTGATCGCAGGCGATTGTATTCTCGCAGGCAATTGTTTTGCTCGCAGTCAGTTGGTTTTCACATGTCTGTTCCGCGTGCTCGCGGACACGTTGCGGCGCTTGCAAGCTATTGTGGCACGTGCAAGGTCTGGCATGTTGTTGCGTATGCACCTGGCGCTCGCACACTGTTGTGGTGACCCTCCGAGGGCCCTGAGGGAGCCGCCAACATAGCCCCGAGAGGGCCCTAACGAGGGCCCTGCGAAAGGACAAGCCAGTGATGTCGCGACCTCTCGAGGGAAAAGGCGGTGTCAGTCCACCCGTGTGTAAGTCTGGTCCCCGAGCTGTCGAAGGGAACATCTCCGTCCGCACATCCGGCTGATTGATTCGTGGACCACCCGTTCGCCCTCCTGCCTCTGTATCGGTGCGATCGCAGACATTCTGGCTCAAGGGGTCGCGTGGGCCCCGCAGCGTGCGGCGGGGCCTTCCTGACCCCGGGCTATGGCAGCGGGAGGGCCCGTGCCCAAGGGGGAGGTCGAGTTCGCCCTGCGGGCCTTGCAGAACGAGGGCGTGCGGGTCGACGGGAGAGGCCTTACTGCCTCGAGGCGTTGCGGGCTCAAGTTCGGGGCGGAGCACGGCGAGGTGGAGGTGACCTTCGGGGCCACCAGGGCACTGGCCGTGTGCAGCGGCGAGATCGTGCCCCCCGCCCCCGAGCGGCCGAACGAGGGCAGGCTTTCCTTCCATGTCGACTTCGGCCCCATGGCGTCGCCGATCTTCGATCTCGGGCGGCCGTCTCCGCAGGCGACCTCCGTGGCCAACTTCGTGGAGCGGCTGCTGCGAGGCAGTCGCGCTGTGGATGCGGAGGCCCTGTGCATCGTGGGCGGGCAGAAGGTCTGGAGCATCCGCGTCGACATCCGCGCGCTGGACGACGACGGCAACCTTGCTGATGTGTCTGCGATCGCGGCCTTATGCGCAGTCATGCATTTCAGGAAGGCGGACGTGGACGTGAGCGGCGAGAGTGCTCGGGTGTACTCCACTGAGGAGCGCGTGCCCGTGCCACTGAGCATTCACCACCTGCCGGTCCCAGTGACGTTCGCGCTCTTCCGCGGCGCGGGCAAGGGTGCGGACGCCGAGACGATGTGGATACTGGACCCCAGCCGCGTGGAGGAGGCGGCCATGGCCGGCGCCATGTGCATTGCAGCGAATCAGCACGGCGAGATCTGCGGTGTGCACAAGCCGGGAGGCCTGCCTGTCGACATCGCGTTGATTCAGCACTGCACTGCCATGGCCCAGACCCGCGCGAGGGAGCTCATCGAGACCCTCAGAGCGGAGCTCGACGCAGACCTTGCGAGGCGGGCGCAGGGCCGCAAAAACGTGCACAGGCAGTTCGCCGAGGCGCAGCTGCTGACCGTGGACTGGGCGGCGACGCCTGCGGCCGGGTCCAGCGCGCCGGAGCCGCAGGCTGCCCAGCGGCTGGCGGCCTTGGCGCCCGCGGCGAAGGAAGAGTCAGTCTCGGTCGTCGCCTCGCCGCGGAAGCCCCAGCGGCGGCGGCCTGGGGCCGCCGCCGCGGCAAGTGCGGCGGAGGCCAGCGGCGTGGCGGCCAGCAGCCCGCCGCTGTCCGCGAGCGCAGCGGCCGTCGCAGCACAGCTGGCGCCTGGTTGTGACCTGGCTGCTGAGCTGCGGGCCGTGGCGGCCGAGAAGGCCGAGCTGGAGCGGAAGCTTCTAGCGGCCGAGGCCGGCGGCGCCCCGGTCGAGCCATGCGCGCCAGGCGCGGGCGTCTCCCCTGCGGCAGGCGCGTCGCCACGCAAGAAGAAGCGCAGGAAGAGCGTCTCGACGGGCGCCGCCGCGGCCGCCTGAGATCCTGGCCATCGGCGCGGCGCCAGTGGGATCCGAACCTCTTGAGAGTGGCCCAGCGGCGCACTGGGCTGGCCCAGTGAGCCCTGGGTACGCGCGGCCAGCAACAAAAATAGTGCCCTTGTGCCCTGGACATGTGTGCGATGGGCTCTCCCTCAGAGAAGCAATAAGTAATGATCACGATACGTTCCCAGATGTCCAAGATCTTCAACGAGGGCCGCTAGGTAATCTGGAACTCCTGGAACGTATCCTGAGCAAATTGTATCATGGTATCGTTCCCTCGGATCTGGGCTCGGATTCCGCGATTCGGTCCTGCCGGCTTCATCTGGTCTGCACCAGTTCCAGGGCGCGCCAGGGTGTTCCATTCCGACCTCTGCCCACTTCGCATGGCTCTTTCTGTAGCCAGAGGCCGCCAGCGAAGGGAGGACGAGGAGGAGGAGGAAGACGAGGAGGAGGACGAGGAGGACGAGGAGGAGGATGAGCAGGGCGAGCAGACAAGGCCAGAAGCCTCTTGGATGCCTCTCGGAGTTTCTTCGGATTTCTTCCGAGAGCTTCTTGGAGTCCTCTTGGGGCGTCTTGGAGTCTCGTGGCCTCTTGGGGCCTCTTGGGGGTCTCTTCGGGTCGTCTTGGGGGCCTCTTGGGGGCCTCTTGGGGGCCTCTTGGGGGCCCCTTGGAGGCATCTTGGGATCTCCTGGGCACCTCTTGGGGCCGTCTTGGGGGCACCCTTGGGGGCCTCGGTGGCCATATTGGGGCCATCTTAGAGGAGATCAAAAGAGGAGGGGCTACTTAATAACATCCCCCCCTTTCGCCAGGAGGCCAAAATGTGGCCAAAACCTTCGTCTCACTTCGGATCCTCCTGGGGGCATCTTGGGGGCCTCTTGGGCGTCTGGGGGCACCATTGGGAGCCTCGGGGAACATCTTGGGGCCACTTCGGGGCCATCTTGGAGGAGATCGATCAAATAAGGGGGGCTCCTTAATCACGTTGCCCACCCAGGAGGCAAACATGTAGCCAAGTCCGTAGTCAAATCAATGATGTTGGCTTTCTCGCCGAGGCCATCTTGGACGCTCCAACGCTTCGCGAAAGGCCCCGTCCAGGAGGAGGGGGTAGGGCGAGGGGTAAGCCCTTCCCCGAATGGGAAGATGGGGGCTGGAAGAGGAAACTTTCTAAACCACTCACGCCCAGAGAGCTGGTATGATTTGTTCAACTCATGCGCAATCTAAGTATGCATTCGTGCGTGTGTTGGCATGTATTTTCCTTTTGGGACCAGCTTGGCTTCCCCTGGAGGGTCGGGTGGCAGTATTGGCTCCATTTGGAGGGTCTGGGGCCGTCTTGGTGGATCTGTAGAAATCGTCGTTCGCTTCTCGGGAACCCTCCGCGAGGCGAGCATTCTTCAGTGTTTTCCTGCCTCTCCTGGGGCCGCTTTGGGGTCCAGCTGAGCGCCTGCGGGGACCCATGGGGAGCGAAGTGCGCGAGGGGTGTGCCGAAAGTGAACCTCCCTCGAACCGTCTTGGGTGCCAGCTGAGCGCCTCTGGAGGTGAATGCAGCACGAAGCGCGTGAGGGGCGTGCCGAATTCAGGCTATCTTGGCTTTCGGAGCGTCGATCCACCGAGGCGTTGCATGTTCCACAAGCATAGCAGGGGTTTGGATCAGTCGTATTTCCACGTGTCCCGGGAGCCTGCGAGCGCAGACCCGTCATACCACGGGCCTGCGGACGCATCTTATACGACTTTACGCATCCCGTAAATATTTGTGCACGGATGCCTTCATGATGTCTGACCGTTTCTAGAGGGGTTGGGGGCACGAAGTGCGTGAGGGGTGCGCCAAATCGGGAGTAGTTCTTCATGGTGTGGCCTTGAATGTCAAGTGTTGACGTTACCGGTCAGCGGAATGCACAGAGCCGTCCTTGGCATGCATTTGCAAGCGCGATCGCACCATCTTTCATCTCACATCATGAGCCTTCGGAGTTTAACACGGCGAGGGCCAGTAGGGGGCCCGCCGAATTAAGCTCGCGTGGGTGAGAAGGAATCGCTTGGCAGATTGAGTGCAGCGCTCAAGGCAGCACGCCCCCACCCAAATCTCGCTATCGAAGCCCAAAAGCACGAGAAGGCAATAGTAGATCCGTCGCGGTCCGTCGGAACATCTTAGCGGACTTTTGGGGGTCTTTGGGAGGCGTCTGGAGGCCTGCTTGGGGCCTCTGAGGGACTTCTTTGGGCCTCCTGGGGACCGTCTTGGACAATTCTGCGTTCCCTGCAGGTTTCTTGGGGGCTGTCTTGGACCGCCTTGTGCCACCTCGGGGTCATATTGGGGCTTCTCGGGGCTGTCTTGGGGCAATCGTGGTCGTTGGTCCCCGCTGTAGGGGCGCTCTTGGTCCCTCTTTGGTGGGCCTCTCGATGCCCTCCTGGGGATTTTTGAGCCCTCTCAGGGCTCTTCTAGGGCCCTCTTGGGTTTTCACAGGGGTCGATCACCGGCATCGATCCGTTTCAAGTTCCAGGATGACCCTGGAACGGTTCCAGGGTGAAAATTGGAACCTGAAGCGGGTGATTTTCCATCTGGACGCTCTCAGGAGCCTTGTAGGTGCCTCTCGGGGATGGGGGGGGTGTACCCGAGCCCCCAAAATGGCTATGTTCCAAATGAAATCTCTTATTGGGGAGCTTGTTTTTCGCGGTAGGACCCTCCCGCTCAGCGTCGGGAGGTCCCAGATGGGTTTTCACCCCGGAACCGTTCCAGGGTGAAAATCCATTTGGGACCTTCTCCCAGCGCAAAGCGGCGCTGTCGGGGATGGGGTGGGGTGTACCCGAGCCGCCAAAATGATTATTTTCCCAATGAAATCTCTGATTGGGGAGATTGTTTCTCGCGGCTGGGCCCTCCCGCTCGGCGTGGCTGCGCCGGCGTAGTCTGGCCAGACGAACAACAGATGCTACTGCCACGATGTTTTCCAAATTTTCCGGTGGCAATCCTAAGGAATGTCGCTGTGCATGCTCATCCCCGTGTTCTGAATCAGGACCGGCCTGTGGGCCGATCGGGCGTTGCGTTGCGTTGCCCTCCCGCTCAGCGTCGGGAGGTCCCAGATGGATTTTCACCCCGGAACCGCTGCAGGGTGAAAATTCATCTGGAACCCTTTCCCAATGCGAAAACAGCGATCTCGGGGATGGGGGGGGTGCACCCGAGCCCCCAAAATGACAATTTTCAAAATGAGATCTCTTATTGGGGAGCTTGTTTTTCACGGCTGGGCCCTCCCGCTCAGCGCCGGGAGGTCCCAGATGGATTTTCACCCCGGAAGCGTTCTAGGGTGAAAATCCATCTGGAACCCTCTCCCAGCGCAAAGCGGCTCTCTCCGGGATGGTGTGTGTGTGTGTGTGTGTGTGCGTGTGTGTGTGTGTGTGTGTGTGTGTGTGTGTGTGTGTGTGTGTGTGTGTGTGTGTGTGTGTGTGTGTGTGTGTGTGTGTGTGTGTGTGTGTGTGTGTGTGTGTGTGTGTGTGTGTGTGTTTGTGCGTGCGCCAGCTCCTAAAATGGTAACGTTCCACATGAAACTTCTGATTGGGGGGCTTGTTTTTCTCGGCTGGGCCCTCCCTCTCAGCGTCGGGAGGTCGCGAACGGATTCTCACCCAAGAACCGTTCCAGGGTGAAAATCCATCTGGAACCCTCCCCCAGCGCAAAACGGCTCTCTCGGGTATGGGAGAGGTGTGCCCCAGCTATGTTCCCAATGAAATCTCGTATTGGGTAGCTTGTTTTTCGCGGCTGGGCCCTCCCGCTCAGCGTCGGGAGGTCCCAGATGGATTTTCACCCTGGAACCCTTCCAGGGTGAAAATCCATTTGGAACCCTCTCCCAACGCAAAACGGCGCTCTCGGGAATGGAACGGGGTTCACTCGAGCTCCCAAAATTGACATTTTCCGAATGCTTTTCGCGGCTGGGCCCTCCCGCTCAGCGTCGGGGGGTCCCAGATTGATTTTCACCCTGGAACCGATGCAAGGTGAAAATCCATTCGGAACCCTCTCCCAGCGCAAAGCGCCTCTCTTGGGGATGGGGGAGGTGTACCCCAGCTCGTAAAATGGCAACTTTCCAAATGAAATGTCTGATTGGGGAGCTTGTTTTTCGCGGCTGGGCCCTCCCGCTCAGCGTCGGGAGGTCCCAGATGGATTTTCACCCCGGAGCCGTTCCAATGCGAAAGTCCATCTGGAACCCTGTCCCAGCGCAAAACGGCGCTGTCGGGGATGGGGTGGGGTGTACCCGAGCCCCCAACATGGCCATTTTCCACATGAAATTTCTTTTTGGGGAACTTGTTTTTCGCGGCTGGGCCCTTCCGCTCAGCGTCGGGAGGTTCCAGATGGATTTTCACCCTGGAACCGCTCCAGGGTGAAAATCAATTGGGAACCTTCTCCCAGCGCAAAACAGCTCTCTCGGGGATGGGGGAGGTGCACCCGAGCCCCCCAAATGGCAATTTTCCAAATGAAATTTCTGATTGGGGAGCTTGTTTTCGCGGCGGGGCTTTCCCGTTCAGCGTCGGGTCCCAGATGGATTTTCACACTGGAACCGTTCCAGGGTGAAAATCCATCTGGGACCCTCTCCCACTGAAAAAACGGCCCTCTCGGGGATAGGGGACCCGAGCTCCCAAAATGGTAACCTTCCAAATGAAATTTCTTATTGGGGAGCTTGGTTTTCGCGGCTGGGCCCCCAGCTCAGCGTCGGGAGGCACCCCAGAACCGCCCCAGGGTGAAAATCCATTTGGAACCCTCTCCCAGCGCAAAACTCTCGGGGTTGGGGGAGGGGGGTGCACCCGAGCTCCCAAAATCAAAATTTTCCGCATGAGATCTCTGATTGGGGAGTTTGTTTTTCGCGGCTGGGCCCTCCCGCTCAGCGTCGGGAGGTCTCAGATGGATTTTCTTCCAGAGCCGTTCTAGGGTGAAAATCCATCTGGGACCTTCTCCCAGTGCAAAACGGCTCTCTCGGGGATGGGGGGGGGGGTACCCGAGCCCCCAAAATTGACATGTTCCAATTGAAATATCTGATTCGGAGATCTTGTTTTTCGCTGCTGGGCCCTCCCGCTCAGCGTCGGGAGGTCTCAGATGGATTTTCTTCCAGACCGTTCCAAATATCTGATTCGGAGATCTTGTTTTTCGCTGCTGGGCCCTCCCGCTCAGCGTCGGGAGGTCTCAGATGGATTTTCTTCCAGAACCGTTCTAGGGTGCAAATCCATCTGGGACCTTCTCCCTGGCGCAAAACGGCTCTCTCGGGGATGGGGGGGGTGTACCCGAGCCCCCAAAATTGACATGTTCCAATTGAAATATCTGATTCGGAGATCTTGTTTTTCGCTGCTGGGCCCTCCCGCTCAGCGTCGGGAGGTCTCAGATGGATTTTCTTCCAGAACCGTTCTAGGGTGCAAATCCATCTGGGACCTTCTCCCTGGCGCAAAACGGCTCTCTCGGGGATGGGGGGGGTGTACCCGAGCCCCCAAAATTGACATGTTCCAATTGAAATATCTGATTCGGAGATCTTGTTTTTCGCTGCTGGGCCCTCCCGCTCAGCGTCGGGAGGTCCCAGATGGATTTTCACCCCGGAACCGCTCCAACATGAAAATCCATCTGGGTATTTCCCCCTGGCGCAAAGCGGCTCTCTCGGGGATGGGAGGGGGGTGTAGTCGAGCTCCCAACATGGCCATTTTCCAAATGAAATATCTCATTGGAGAGCCTTTTTCTCGCGGCTGCAAGGAGGTGAATAAGGCCTTCTGTAAGGAGCTCAATAAGGCCTTCTGTAAGGAGCCCAATGATACCTTCTGTAAGGAGCCAAAGAGTGCCTTCTGTAAGGAGCTCAGTAAGGCCATCTGTAACGAGCCCAATAAGGCCTTCTGTAAGGATCCCAGCAACGCCTTCTGTAAGGAGCCCAAGAAGGCCTTCTGTAAGGAGCCCAAGAAGGCCTTCTGTATGGAGCTCAAGATGGCTCCAGATGGGTTTTCACCCCCGAACGGTTCCAGGGTGATTCTGGAACCTGAAACGGTCAGTGTCAAGCTTCCAGAATCACCCCAGAACTGTTCCAGGTGATTCCGGAACCTGAAGCGGTGGATTTTGCCCACCACCCCATTGGAGCCCGCAGGGGCAGGAGCGGGAGCACCACAATCATGGAAGAACACGTGTTGTTTTGTTGATTTCCTTGCAATCTTGGTGGCCTTTGGGACTTTTGGGGCACTCAGAGACTTCTCAGGATCTTGAGGCCTCTTGGAGGTTACTTGGGGCCTGCCTTGGAACAGCTTGGGTCGCCTTCTGGTCATCATGGGGCCTCGTGGGGTTTTGTTGGGACGATCTTGGGGCCTGCCTCCTACTGGCCTCCGCTGATGGGCCGTTCTTCGGGCCTCTTCGAGTTCTCTAGCAGCCCCTCTCGGGGAGCCTTTGGGCCCTCTCAGAACACTTCGGGGGGCACCACGGAGGCCGAAAAACAGATCGGAGCCCGCAGGGACAGGACGGCCGATTCCATAGCAAAGCATGTGTGGTTTCTATGTTCACGACTTTCTTGGGGGACTTTGGGCCTTCCCAGGGCCTCTCAGTACGTGCTAGGGGCCCGTTGACGGGTTAGCTAAGTACAGATATGTTGATTATTTGTTGTGGGGTTTGGCTCAATACTGATTATTTGTTGCGCTTTGCTTTGGCATGCCGACCTTCTGGTATGCCACTGCTCTGGTTCGCATGCTGTATCGATCTCTGCTGCAGGCAGTGGCTGTGCCTCACTTGGTTTACGAGTCTACATGCTGGGAATACAGAGATTGGATAAGATCTTCTATGGCGGTTTTGCACTGCAGCCTCGCCCATGTTCTATCCAATACGCATTGCCTAGCTAGGTTGGTCCCTCCTGGGCCACAACATTCCTCAGCTCGGTCCAGAGATCGCCTTCATGTGTGAGAATGGAGGGAGAGGACGGCGCACCGTGGGAGGGAAGGAAAGCGACGGGAGAGAATTGGCGAATGAAAAGAAACTGGAATGGGGGGAGGACAGGAGGAGAGGGCAGGGAGGTATGAGGAACAATGTCGCGGTGCAGCAGGTGCAGTCCAGCGGAAGTCGGGGCGTGTTTGCTACAGATTGGGTTGATTTGCCAGCCCTGGAGGCGACCTTCAATGGCCACCCGTGCGTCATCCGTAAGCTCTCGTACGTCGAGAGTCCAGGTAAGACTTCATTGGTGCATGCGTTGTCTTGAGCGTAGCATTGGGCACGGCGCTCAGCGGTGCCGCATCCGCGCTTCCTTCGCGCTGTCATAAATCAGGCGTTTGCTTTGACTTGCAGTGAATGAGATGCTCGCGCGGCGACGACCATCGACCATCGGTGATTGCTGCAAAATCCAACGGCCTTCCCACCATGGTCGACCGAGCCTCAGGACCTCACTCTTGGCACAGAACCACAAGAGGCCCCTTGGCACAGGATCGCCTCTTGAGCACACAGTCTGGGGACCAGGGGAGGGTTTCAAGGGGCATGTGTGTTCCCCCATGCGACCGTCCATCCAGATACTGATGGGAACCAGATGCTTATACCATCTGGCTATCGTGTCGTCCACATGCTGGCCAAGAGGCCACGACTGAAAATCAGGTTTCCCTGCCTATCGGTCAGTTGGGCTCTCGCCCCAATCCCAGGGAGATCTCTGCCTGCCAACGCCATCTAAAACAGGTGGAGGGTCCCCCCAGGCAGGCGAATGCCCGCACGGACTGGAAGGGGCGGGGGGAGGTGGCGGCCAAGTGCTCCCGGAGCACTCCGCGCGCTCAGGGGTGGGCGGGGCTGCCGTGCAGAGGCGGTGAGCGAGGAAAGTGTCCCAGGGCGCCATCCCTGCCCTGGCCACCGGCTTGGACTATAGTCGCTCCCTCTGCGCCGACCGCGGTTTGACGATGTTGCAGGCTGTGGGCCCTCGGTCTGTCGGCCGATGGGACCCCCACGGCTGCATCGCAACGCCGGCTGCAGCGCTGATTTGTGAGCCACACGGTCGGTTCGGTTCGGTTGGTCCGAGGCCACAAAGGGACGGGACCGATCGATTGTGAACGTCCGCACGCAGGATGGCAGAGTCCGCGCGCAGCATCGACGTCCGCACTGCCAGCGTGTGGTCGGTCTGGGTTGAGCCGGTGACTAACTTCTGGTCGGAGTGGGCGGTCAGCAATGGAACCTCTTCCACGATTCCCTTCTCCAGCCTTCACACCCCCTCCTCCATCCTCTCCCCTTCCCCGCCTTCCCCTCCCCTCCGCACCCCTCAGTTGTGCCGGGGGGGGACAAGTATCCTCCTGGAGCTCTAGAAAGGTGTCCTTGCTGGCATGGTTTGTCTGCGCCCCAGGCGCACAGAGAGGCATCTCGGTTTCATCGGTTCCTGTGGCAATTGTCTTACGAGTGTGGTGGGTTGACTGGTAGTAAGAGCCCAATGGTACTTTCCAACTTGCACCTCTGACCGTTCGACTGCCCCGGTTGGATCGCTACGGTCCAAGCACATAATGATCCGAGTTGACAGCGCGCATCCCCAAGGAATTATAACGTTGCGAGGATAGCGGCCTGAGTAATCTAGCTTTGGTGTCCCAGATCACACCCCAATCGCCAGTCTCACCCTAGCAACGTAGGAGGGAGGCGGAAGGACGTTGTGCACATCTCCATGTTTCGTCCATTTTTCGCATAATTTAAGGCCTTGAGCATTGGCAACATCCACTGTCTTGATGAGCAAGGGCTCGGCAGGAACTACGTACTCTGGCAGAGATGCCCAGAGAGGGCAGTGCGTTTCAGTCAGCGGCGTTGTGAGTACGCGCAGACAGCAATCAAGGTGCAGAGGCAGGATTTGTTATTCAGTGTGTTTTGCAGTGGGCCGACAGGTCGTAGATAAAGCAAGTACACCCCCGGCGGCATAATAGTTACGCTCACACAACTTTTAGAGCACCACAGGGGACACGCTATAGAGTAACTGTACTCATGCTGTGCTGCGCGATGCGATATTATCGTGTGTTTTGCTGCAGCGTGCTACAACGTAATCAACCAGACCGCGGGAGACCACGCGGGAGACCGTATAGGAAACCAGAGACCACGAGCCACGACCAGAGAGTACGAGCCACGACATAGACCACAAGCCACGGTCAGAGGCCACGATCCACGAACAGAGACCAGGACCAGAGACCACGAGCAACGACCAGAGACCACAACCAGAGCCCACGGGCTACGGACTTAGGATCGCGAGAACGCCCAACGGGCCATACAAGACATGTGTAGGACCCTTACAGTCAAGCAGTCAACCTTACAGTCAAGCAGTCAAGCAGTCAAGCTCACATAGCCACTTGGACCCATTCATATCAGACCCCTACTACAATCACCAGATATGTTTTCATCAGTTGACCATGTGCCACCTTTACCGAGTTGACCAGTTGGCACTCTGAACGAGTCAGAGTCACCAGCAGAGGGACCGCACACGGCATATGCAGGGCCCAGGCCCAGGGGCCCATTTGGTTCGCTTGGTCTGGACTGGGTGCTACAAGATTTCGCCCGCAGCCCCTTGAGCTTCCTGACCACTCCATGGTCCGGCCATGCTTACATAATCCATTCATCCCGTCTGCTGGGGAGCAAAAGAGCACTCCGAGGAGGAGGAGAGGAGGAGGAGGAGGAGGAGGAGGAGGAGGAGGAGGGAGGAGGAAGAGGAGGAGGAGGAGGACTTTCCCTGAGCAACCATGGGGCCTTTTCGGGGATCGTCCAAGAGCCTTCGGGTGGACTGCTGCCTTCTGGTGGAATGTTTGACGCCTGGGGTTGGCCTCGGGGTTTGAAGGACGAGGAGGCAGAAGTAGCATGGTAAGTCTATACTTTCCTTCATTGTCTTGTTTTCAATCGCCAGCGCCTGGGCTTCGATCCAGCTGGCACTCCGATCTGCTTCACGTGATCCGGCTTTATGGCCAGAGAGTTGGATTTGCAAAATCGTATCGGATCTATTTCGTCACTTTGGGCGCAGGGTCCCGCCAGCCTCCCGTGGTCCAAGGATTCCTGACAGTGTTGGCCGCAGGGGATACGCAAAAGCGCAGGTCGTAAGCGCGCCTTTTTGCTGGTATAGCTTGGCGCGCATGCATTGGAACATTTTCTCTTCCTGGCTCGACTTTTCCAGCTGCACCATCTTAGAGCTTTTTGCAGGGCGCACCGCACGTGCCTTCCGCAGGGACGCGCTTCCGCGCGATCACTTGAGCGAGGTCGCCCTCGCTGGCGGAGGGGGGATGTGCATCAGAGATTCGAGGGTCAACGGCTTGGCGCTCCGGTGCCTCGGGCACTGATGGATCCCTGGGACAGTCCTGTGTGTGTGTGTCGCCAGCGTGCTCGCCTCAGAGGGACGTGCCATCCACAAGGGGAGAGAGGGGCGCGAGGGCGCAGCCCCAGGGACCACGGCGCTCCCTGTGCATTGGCTCTGCTCGGCCTCGCTCCGCGTTGTGTTGTCTCGGCTTCTCCCTGCAGGATGCGCTATGTTTTGCGCTGCGCTGCGCTGCCCTGCCTTGCCTCGAGCTGCTCGTACGGCTCCGATGCTTCCCCGCATAGTGTCGTCGACGCGGAAAGGGCTCTCAAGGTGGTAGATGTGGCAAGCAGGGGCGCGCATGCCGAGGCAAGGGCAAGACGGTTGGTTTCAAGAATCCCCGGGGCCTCCAGTTCGAAAAAGGCTGCTCGTTCGCCTCCCTGCAGATTGACATTCGGCGTTTCCACCGCGCTCTGGACCCATTGAGTCCGATCTGGGAGAATTTGTTTGCTAACGGCTGATGAAGACTGGCCTGCAGTGGGAGGGGGGAACACAGGACGATGGATGGCGCAATGATAGCAGACAGGTGAAGCACAGATCACCAACTCCAGATGCGACGGGGGTCAGAAAAGGCTGACCACTCGAAGCATCAGTTTAATGCAGATGTCGGCGAATCTGCTGTGTGAGCGCAGTAGAAGCCGCGAGAACGCAGCGACAACATCATCGGCGGGTGCGGAGCTCCGCTGTGTGACACTTCGCTGCTTGGACTGCATGCGCGCTTGCATCGCATTGTAGAAATAAGACCCCCTGCCGCACAACGTGCCCCTGCCGCTTGGCCTCCAGCGGCTTCGACGGTGGGGGGCGAAACTAACGGAGGCCGTGGACCATGGGCAGCCAAATCGGTATTCAGCCTGAACCCGACCTCCGGCGCCATGACGAGACATGCTGGAAGTTTCTTACGCCAGGTGCCTGTCCAAGCCCCCCAGGTCGTCAACGTATCGACGCGGCGGGGAAACTTGCGCACTGAGATGATAGGGCCAGACCCTCATGCCTTGGTCTTGCCATGGTGCCAGAGGTCTGGGGAGCAGGATTCCGCAGCCCAGGGAGGGCCGAGGATGAAAGAGAGGGCACGTCGGACCGTCGGCGCGCAAATCAGTACGAAAGCGCACACATATCATAGCGTTCTCGCCTGCCACAGGTCGACAGGTTGGCCTTGGCCCCTACAGCGCTGACGATCTCAGCAGATTCCACGGATGAACGTTTCGGACAATCGTGTGTGAGCAATCGATTATTCTTATGTTGGGGTCAGCGTTGATGGAGGTCGAGGTCAACTTGCCTTCGGTCGAGGTAACGCAAGCTCAATCGTAAGAGAAAGATCACGGGATGCGATCAGATGGGGATTTGCATAGCGTGACGGGTCCAGTGAATGCCTGGATGCGATCGTATTGACAGTTTATCTTCCTTTAGCCCCAACCAGGCTCTGCCTGAGGCGCCCTAGCTTTTTAGTGGAAGATGGCCAGTGTAGACTCATGGCTCCCCCCGACCCCCGCTTCTGTGGGTTCGCCGGAGCTTTCCTGGGGCAGCCTCTTGGTTCCTCGGGGTTCCCGAGGTCCCCAGTGCTGCTTTGCGCTTTTTTGTCTGTTTTGCTTTGCCCTGCCCGTTTTTATTCACAACCCTCTTGTGTTAGGTTCTGGTTTTGAATACAGCACTGTTGCCTCCGTGTCCTCCGTCCCGCCTCCCTCCTCCTCCCTCATCCTCCTCCTGCCTGCTACCTCTTACCTGCATCCTACTTCCATCATGCTTCTTGTAGGCTGCGATACGCAGGACGGTCGCCGCTTTCGTCAGCTACTGGGAGGGCCAGCGTTGTGAGGTCATACGCAGAGCGGATTTGAACTCACCGTTCCTGGGTGGCTGCGAACTGCGAATCTGTTGCCATTTTCTTCAGCTTCTGGGAGTGCCAGCGAAGTGACGACATTCGCGGATCATGATTATTAATCCTCGCCGTCACTGGGCAGCGAAGTAAGGTCATACGCGGCCCAGGTTTGACCTCGCCGTCCCTGGTGTCTGCGAACTGCGGAACCGTCGCCATTTTCCTGAGCTCTTGTGAACGCCAGCGAGGGGATGCCACACGCGGATCAGGTTTGACCTCGCCGTCCCTGGGGGATCTGCGAGCTTCGGTACCGTCGCCAATGTCGTCAGCTCCTGGGATGGCCAGCGAAGTGACGTCATATGCGGGCCATATTAGACCTCGCCGTCCCTGGGAGGCTGCGACCTTTCAACGCGTCGCCACTTTCGTCAGCTCATGGGAAGGCCAGCGAAGTGACGTCACGCGCGGAGCAGATTCGACCTCCCTGTCACAGGGGGGTCTGCGAACTTCGAAACCGTTGCCACTTTCAACAGCTCCTTGGAGGGTTAGCGAAG